CCTGCACTATAACTCCCATAGATCTCATAGCCAGTAACCACGCCTTGCTCTGCACGGTACGTAGAATAGTTTGCAAAACTGCCTTCTTCTTTCTCTGCTTTCGATTCCTGTTGAAAATTCAGAGGAAGGGCATCCGTTTGCAAGCTGGATCTCCTCAACACACCCATGGATTGAGCCGGAGCTAGACAGATAGAGTTTTTCGGTGCAGGAAGCATTGAAGAGAGCGCTTTTGGGGCGGACAAAGGCGGAGCATCCTTTCTGACTTTTCTTATCATCTCCTCGTCCTCCTCCTCATCAGGATCATGTGATTTGAGCATTGAAGGATTCAATGGAATGGTGAAAGGAACGACCTTTCTAGCGTTTTGATCTAATGATGGTTTGTTGGAAGGATTTCCCGATTGAGATTTAGGGGCGGGGAGCGAGGAGTAAGTGGCAGAGGAGGAAGTTTTGGGTGGCGGCAGAGAAGAGAAGATGGAGGAGGACGGCAGTTTCCTGTAGGGCTTTCCTCCATCATCTTCTCTCTTATAATCATCTAGAGAGTGGTTGGGAAACTGAGATTTGGGAGGGGGAATAGAAGAAAACAAAGGGGAAGAGGAAGAAGGAGAAGAAGAGGTGGCAATTCGGGGAGGAGGAAGTGAGGAGAAGAACGAGGAGGATTTGGGGGGAGGAAGATTTGTGGAGAGAGAAGAGAGCTTGGAAGTAGAAATAGGACGAGAGACTTCTTCGGCTTCCCCTTCGTCGTCGGAGGAAGCATAGTTCGCTAACAAGGAATCCATGGGAGCTGAGAAACAAAAAGTGGCTTCCTCTAAAATGATGTACAAGCCCTAATAAAATGCATGGACACCCGCTTCAAACTTCTATCTTGCAGGAGATGGAGAACAAATTTTAAATTATGAGCATCATTGAATCCCTGAAATTTTAAATTTGTGTCAATAAATTGTCATTTTGGGGGCAGCTTACAAGGTGCGGCGGCGTTTTCAAAATGTCGTCTTTTCATTTGAATATCGCGATCGGTCTAACTTTTTGGTGTCACGATGTTTTTTTATCGCTATTTTCTTCGTGGTTTCGCAAGTCGTCCGCCTCCTTCATCCCGCATATCAATTTTCCTAATCCCTGTGCTACCCTTCGCAAATCTCACTCGCCGCCTCACCTCGCTCTCCCACCGCTCTTGGAGAATCGCAGATCACCTAGCTCCCACGCCATCGCCCTTGGAGAATCTCCTCTGCTCGCCCAGGAGATTGACGCCCTTTCCAGGAGAATCGCATGCCTTGTCTAGCAGATCTCTCTCGGCCC